CAAGAACAGACATGTCTCTGTCCCAGGGTTGGAGAAAGAGCCATCTGCGCCAGGCCTGCAGGCGAGGAGGACAAGGACTGAGGAGGAGGAGGCGTCTGACCCCACCTCTGCGGCCGCCCAGCTGCATCACCTCCGGCAACACTTGCCTGTGCCCTTGCCCCCAAGCCCCAGGTGACTCCCGCACGCCAGCCTCTGCCCAGGCCAGGCCCACCTTTGGCCTCAGAGGCTGCCCTGCCTGCACACCTGGCCCGCAAGCACTGCTGTACTGGGGGAGGGGGTCCTCAGAGCTGGTGTGCAAGCAGCACGAGGTCCCAAGGCCCTGGGGGTTTGAGGGGCCGACCACAGGGCACCCCCAGGCCCAGCATGAGGACTGGATCCATAGCCAGCTCCCCTTGGAGTCCCAGGACTGCCGGGCTTCTGAAAGGGGCTAGGCAGCTGCCCTGGGGCCCGGGCCGGAGGTAGTGGAGTTCACTGCTCCAGTGTGCTGACCAGGGCTGCAGCGGGCTGTGAAGGGGAAGGGCGGGTGGCCCTGGCCGGCTCCAGGTGCCGCGTCACCGAATCCTGCTCTGTCGTGTTGTGCTCTCCAGGGCACCACTGGGGCCAGAGGAGGCTGAGGCGCAGGCTGCAGCGCGGGCCCGGGCACCCGTCGTGCCCTTCGGGGTGGACCTGTGCTACTGGGGCCGGGAGCAGCTGCCGGCCAGGGAGATGCTCAAGTGAGTGCGTCGTCCGTGGTCCTGTGGGCCCTGTCCCGCTCCTGCCCTGGCCCGGGGTCTCAGCCTGGGTTCGGCCCAGCTTTGCTGTGGGCCCCCCGGGCACCAAGAGTGGCCTGAGGAGGCGGCCCCTCACATGTCCTGTGTCCTTTTCTCAGCTTCCCTGTCGCTCCTCAGTGGGACGTCCTGTGTTGTCCTCCCTGATCGTCGGGCTTCATGGTGGCCTGGAGGGCTGTCCTCCAGGGTCCGGGGTCCCTCCCGACCCGTCCCGCTCCTTCCAGCCTCTGCACCCAGGCCCTTGCCACGACAGCCCCGTGGTCCTCTGACTCGGACCTCTGCCTGGGCTAGGCTTCGCTTGGGCTCTGCAAGAAGTTTCCGGGAAGCCCCCTCTCTCCAGGGTCGTAGAGGAGAGGGGCACAGGCCACAGGCCCAGGCCGGGCTGGGGCAGCGTGTGGTGGGGGACAGGGGTGCCTGACGGCGCCCCCGCCGTGCTGGGTGTCTGCTTGTCCTGGGAGAACTCACAGGCCCGAGTGTCTTTGGGTTCTGCTCCCAAGAGGTCCACCCTCAGCTGCCAGCCTGGCTTTGCTGCTGGCACCGTCCGGTGGCGACTCTACAGTGATGCCAAGTCTCGGGTCTGCATGCAGGTCGGACTCTGAGCACCGCTTCTGGAAGCCCCTCGAGGCGGACGTGGGAGAGGACGGCGCTGCTGTGTCTGAGTCACTGTGGAGCCGCCGCATCCCCTTCGCGGGGCAGTTTGAGCCTGTGCAGCACCAATGCCGTGCTCCCCGGCCCGACGGCCGGCTCTGCCAGCGCCAGGACCGCCTGAAGGTGAGCCGGGGGGGCTGGGGCGTCTTGGCCAGCCCCCCCTCCACAGGATGGGCTCATCTGTGGCTGTGCCTGGGCTTCCTGCGTGGGCCGGTGGCCTGACACGTGGACACGGGACTTGAGACGCTCCTCCCCCATTCCTGGCCCCCACCTCCACGTGCACACATCCTCCTGAGCCCGCTCTGTGCCTTGCCCCAGCGTCTGCAGAGGTGGCCTTGTGCACTGGGCAGGGCTTTGGCCAGACTGACTCAGGCCCCAGACCCTCCTCCACTGCCTGGCTCCTTCACGGCCATGCCCGAGGCCCCTCCTTTGAGGGGTGTGTGGCTGGAGGGCGAGCCTGTTGGTGGGGAAGGCTGGTGGCCCCTCTGGCATCAGAATTCCTCTTTCCTTTGCCGCAGTGCCCTTTCCATGGGAAGATCATCCCAAGAGATGAAGCAGGACGGCCCCTCCACCCGGAGGACAGGGCCCGGGAGCAGAGGCAGCAGCTGCAGAGGCCAGCGGGGCGCCCGGGTAGGTCTGGGGGGACAGGATGGGGGTGGCACCATGTAAGGACACACCCGGACCCGTCAGTCCCCAGGGCAGCTCTGTGCCTGCACATGGTCACCTGCCGCCGCCTGCTGGTTGTAACTCATGAGTGTGGCCGGAACACTCTGCCTTCAGGCCCCTGCCCCACCAGGCTTTCACACGGCTCCTGATGTGGACACACCCACAACCAGAAACCACCTTGTTACCATTTGTTTGTTTGGAGTCTGGGTTCTTAATTCTGTTTTTAAGCAGATGAAAAACTGGAACAAGAAAAGTTAAAGATTGAGCCCCAGGTGGCTCGTCCTGGCACGTGCCGCGGGCTGGCGGCTGCCTGGCCCCTAGAGGGCCCCTGGACAGCTCGGCCCGGTGGTGACACGCAGAAGTGGTCGTCACTGCCGGCACACTCAGGGTGAGGTGGAGGGCCCGAATTGATGTGTCTGTGGTTTGTCAGAAGCAGGCTGGGGTCTGGAGACCCTGCAGTCCCAGGGCCCCTTCTGAGAAAGGCCCGGCTGGCAGGCCCAGAGCCCTGGGGGACAGAGCGGGGGGCTCAGGGGGTCACCGCTGGGCACCTGTCATTAGTGGGCTTCTTTCCTTTGTTGCAAGAGACAAGGATTTGGTTTCAGCCTCACACCCAAGGTCGGCGCCTGGGCCCCCGGGGCCTGGAGGGCGGCAGGGAGGGGCCTTGACCCGCTAATCCGCGGGGCGAGGCCTTCCCTGGTGGCTCACACTCAGGAGCAAATTAAGTGCCTATTTTTTGTGTCAGCCCTGAAGAGTATCTGGTTCTGCAGCCCTCGGTGACTTGTTAACAACAGGTATCGGGCTGGGGCCGCGGGCCGGCGCTGGCCAGTCAGATGTGAAATAGCATCTCTTTACTAACTACAGTATTGATCCCCACCTCCCTCGCAGGCCGGGCAATTTTCTTCTCCCTGGCGCGACCCTCGGTGACAATGCGCACAGAGCTCCGGGGCCCGTCAGCACGCAGGACGGCCACACGGCCCGGCTTCTATTGATTTTCTTCAAAGGCTTTTAAATTGCTCCTTCATTTTACTGAGATGCTCATTCCATCTCGACTGGGTGCTGGCGTTTTCCCGTTGTGTTTAAACAATTGCTCCATTCACCAGGTTCCTAAACTGTGACGCCTTCTCATTACTGGGAGATAAACTGTTTGGACAGTTTTCCTTAATCTTGGATTAATGGTTCCTGTATCTGGGTTGTGCAGCCCCATATTCCTTCACTTCAGATATCAACTTGGGAGGCCTCGCCATCTGTCTGGGCGCGTGGCTTCTCCCCTTGCTGGACGTGCCCGGCCCACGGCCCCAGCCCACGGGCCTCTTGTTTGCATGGTGGTGTCATCGGGGGCAGCAAGCCAGGGCTGGGGTCTGGGTGCCTGGGGGGTGCTGTGCTGTTACGTTGCTGACCTGGGTGCCTGTCCCGAGCCAGCTGGCTGGACAGACGCTGAATCTCAGGGATCCCTGTGTGGCCTTCAGATGCCCCCCACCCCTCCCCAGGAGCAGAAGCAGAGGCTGAGAGGGGAGTAGCTGCCAGGGCAGCGGCGGGGCTGCTGTTGGAACCCCAGGCTGGGAGCCCCCCCATTTTGACAGTTAATGCTGTGAGTCCTGGCAGACGGACACACTGACTGAGCTCTGGTGTAGCCTAGGGCTGGCGAGGCTAGACTCCGGGGCTGGGTGATGTTTGCTTCCCCACGGAGCTGTCTCCCGCTGCCCTGAAGGGCCTGGGCTGAGGCGGTGGTCCCTGCAGGAAGGGTGGGCTGTCTTCTGGCGCCTGCGACCAAGTTGTCTTCGGATAGATGAAGAGTCCCTGGCCCCTCAGCCTGGCTGACCCTGCTGCACACACCCACCGGCCAGCACACGGGTCTGGGGGCCATGGCCCAGCCTGGAGGCTGGGAAGCAGCCTATGTGTGGCTCTGCCCCTGGCCACCAGCTTCCGTGGCCTTCCTGCCTGACGGGTGGGTCTGGGGGGTGGCCAGTGGCCCTCCCGGCCCCCGTTTCAAGGAGGGGTCAGGGCTCAGGTGAGGTTGGTGCTGGGTGTCTTCTGAAATCTCGGGGTCTGTTTGCAGACTGGCAGGACCCCGAGTTCATGAGGGACGTGGAGGCAGCCACTGGGGTGGATCTCGGCTCGTCCAGGTCCAGGGGGAGAGGCCAGGGGAGGAGGAGGAAGCACCCTGGCCTCACCGACCTCAGGCGGCAGGCCGACACAGCGCGGGCTCGCATTGCCAAGAAGGTCTTTGCCAAGTAAGAGCCTCTCTGGGGTCCTGCCCCAGCCCCGGGCCTGGGTGTGCAGGAGGGGGGCTGACTGCACTCCCAAGATGTACCTGCGGCCAGGGCCCTGGCTGCCATGACCAGCAGGCCCCTGGGCGGCGGAGGGCAGGCGGGTGAGAGTGGAGGCTGGAGCTGGTCACCCTGAGGGTAATGAGCCAGCCTCTTCCCGAGGAGGGGCCTTTGCCAGCCAGCCAGTGAACCCGAGGTTCCCAGTGAGGGGCTGAGCCAGCCCTGAGGCTCCCCCTTGCTCGGCTGACCTCAAAGGGGTGGTCAGGGCCCAGGCGTGTCCATGTGGTGACTTCGGGGATGGCAGGTACCTCCATGGGTGGCGGGATGGTGGTTACTGCGCAAGTCTCAGCGCCAGGGAGCAGGCGCCTTGTGCTGCTCCAAGCACCAGCCCTGGGGTCCAGGCAGCTCTCTGGCCCAGCAGGACCTGCCTGGCTGGTGGTGACTTGGCGGGGCCAGAGTGGGGAGGCTGCTAGCCCAGCATCCTTGCTGTCAGGGGCTGAAGGAAGGCGTGGGGGCTTCTGATTAGAAACACACTTGTGGCTGATGCTCCTTCCGAGGTCTGCCCAGGCAGGTGCTGTCCAGGAGGCTGTCTTCTCGGGCCGACGCCTGGAAGGTGCTCAGCGCACCAGGCAGAGGAGGTGCCACCAGGGACCCAGCCTGAGTCGGGTGGGTCAGGAGGGTGGCTTCCTCAGTGTCCCGGCAGCTGTGGGCACTGCTTCTCACTGCTGGCCTGCTGTGCACGTCGGTGTCCAGAGGAGGGCCTGGCTCCCGGGCTCTGGGCATGAGGCTGGTTTCCTGTGGCTCAGCCACAGGTGCTGATGGGGCCCTCCGAGGGGCTCCTTGCAGGCAGCTGGGTGGCCTGGAGCTCTCCCTGCGGGGGGCCATGGGTGCCCCGGGAACAGGGCTGGCAGGGGGCCTCCTGGCTTCCCCAGTACTGCCTCATCCAGGCAGTGGCAGCGGTTGGATGGCAAGAAGCACTTGGTCTGCCTTCCACACCTCTCTGTTGCATGTCCCTCAGTGTTTCCCCGACACCAGATGTGCAGCTCTGGGCGCAGCAGGACTGAGTGAATCAGGCTTGTCCTGGCGGCCTTGCTCACCTGCTGCACGGGCTATGCCGTCATCTGGGGGTACAGCATGGCGCTGGCAAGACTGGGGTTCCTGGGAGCCACCCTCAGGGCTTGGAGTGGCGGGAGAGGTGCCAGGGCACGGCCAAGGCTACTTTCTGCAGCAGAGTCACGCACTGTGGTCTCCAGCTCTGGACTGGGATGCTCTGCCGGTTTCCGAGCTGTGTTGCCCATCCGCAGGGAGCCTGCGAGTGGTCTGTGTGCAGCAGCGCCCCCAGCATGGGTCCTGACCCCAGTCTGGGGCCTCCCCAGTCGCATCTTGCTTTGCTTTCTCTGCAGGGCGGCTGTGCAGAGGGTGGTCACAGCCATGAGCCAGATGGATCAGAAGAAGCACGAGAAGTTCGCAAACCAGTTTAACTACGCGCTGAACTAGAGAGCGAGGCTGGGTTTGTGGTCCCCTCTGGCCATCGGCTCCTCTTCTTCCCCTGCTGATGCACGAGGATGGGAAAGCAGGCCCAGGTCTGGGCAGGGACCGTGGCCGCTGTTGTAGCATGTATTAACGCGAGGAGGTGGGACACATGCTGATTAACACGCCCCAGAGGTGTGGGCTCTCCCCTGCGGGGTGGCCACTGCCATCTTGTTACAGATTTGCCTGCCTAATAACCAGGCTGGGCTCTAGCAGCCGTGTCCCCAGGGCATTCTGCACAGCCCGTGTGCTTGGTGACATGGATCAGAGTCGCTCAGCGTTTAGAATGACTGTGCAGCCCCCACCCTAGCTTCCCAGCCTTCCCCGCTGCTGGCCACTCAGAGGAACTCCAGGAAAACCCACGCTTGTGTCTTAAAGTGAAGGAGTGAACCATTCGCGGTTGGCACCTGTGGCATCTCACAGGTGTCCTGTGGTGGTTCCGCATCAGAATGCAGAGAACTACCTCACTCTGTTTCTTTAAAAGCAGCTTTATGGAGACTGAACTCACATAGCACAGCGTTTACTCCTTTAAAGCGTGGCGTTCAGTACATTCACGGTGTCGTGCACCCACCACCACTGTCTAGTTCTGGGACTTTTTGTTACCCTGCAAGGACCCCCGTTCACCCTTCTGCAGCCCTTGCACTGTCTGGTCTACATCTGCTTCTGGATTTGCCTTTGCTGGACATTTCCTATGAACTGAGTCATAACAACACGTGGCCTTTTGTGTCTGGCCTTCTTCACCGTGCTCCACGCGGTCAGGGTTCTTCATGTTGTAGCACGTGTCAGCGCTTCGTCCCTTTTATGCCGGGATGATGCTCCACGTAGGAACACACCTCACTTTGTGGTCCGTGCCCTGTGGACGTTCGGGTGATTTGCACTTTGAGGCTGTGATGAGTGATATCGCTGTGACCGCCCGTGCACAAGCTTTTGTGTTGGCTTATATTTTCACTTCTTTTGGGTTTATACCTGGAAGTGTAATTGCACAGGGGAGTCATACGGTAACTTTCTGATGAATTGCTGAGATGCTCTCCAAAGCAGCTGCACAGCTTTACACAATTTACATCATCACTACATCATCCCACCAGCAGGGAATGAGGGTTCCTGTTTCTCCATGTTCTTGCCAACACTTGTTATTGTCAGTCTTTCTAACTTTAGCCGTCTTAGTGGGTGTGAAACGGTAGCTCGTGGCTTTGATTTGCGCTTTCCTGATGAATGACATGAACATCTTTTCGTGTGCTTAGTGGCCATTTGTGCGTCTTTGGAGACACATCCAGATCTTTTGCCCGTTTTTAACTGAATTGTTGTTCTGAGGTGTCGGCGCACTCTGTATGTGCTGGGTGCTAGGCCCTTATGCGCGTTGCAGGCGTTTCTCCTATTCTGGCTCTCCACTTTCTTGATAGTGTACCTTGAACACAAGAACTGTGACTTTTGATGATGTCCAGTACATCGATTTCTCCTGTTGGCCACTTGTGCTTTTGGTATCATATCTAAGCAGCCAAGGCCTAACCCAAGGGCATGAAGCTGTGCCCTTATGTTTTCTTGTAAGAGTTTCATGGTGTCTTAAATTTAGGTCTTTGGTCCGTTTTGAGTTAATTTTTATATGTGGTTTAAAGCTTCCAGCTTCATTCTTTTGCATGTAGATGTCCAGGTCTCTCAGCATCATTTGTTGAAAAGGTTATTCTTTCCCTCACTGAACTATCCTCGTGCCTTTATTGATCATCAGTTGACAATAAATGTGTGAATCTATTTCTGGACTCTCAGTTCTCTTCCCTAAACCTGTGTGTCCTTGTGCCAGTGCGACCACGTCTTCGTCAAAACGAGTCCTCCATCCTTGTTCTTTTTAAAGACTGTTTCGGCCGTCCTGCATCCTTTGTGTTCCCAAGTAAATCTGAGTACCAGCTTGTCAATTTCTGCAAAAAAAGAAGGAAGGAAGGAAGAAAGAAAAGAAAGAAAAAGAAAGAAAGAAAGAAAGAGAGAGAAAGAGAGAAAGAAAGAGAAAGAGAGAAAGAGAAAGAAAGAAAGAAAGAAAGAAAGAAAGAGAAAGAAAGAAAGAAAGGAAGAAAGGAAGGAAGGAAGAAAGAAAGAAAGAAAAAGAGAGAAAGAGAAAGAAAGATAGAAAGGAAGGAAGGAAGAAAGAAAGAAAGAGAGAAAGAGAAAGAAAGAAAGAAAGAGAGAGAAAGGAAGAAAGAAAGAAGCAACTGAGATTTTGATGGGATTATGTTGACTCTGGAGATGAGTTTGGAGAGTACAGTTGACCCTTGAACAACATGGGTTTGAACTGCACGGGTCCACGCATACGAGGGTTGTTTTAAATGGTGAATACTACAGTCCTGCACGGCCCATCATGCGTTGAATCTTTGGAGGCAGAATCACAGATATGGGGTCGGGGTGGGGCTGGGGGAGCAACTGTAAAGTCACACAAGGGTTTTTGGGTGCATGGAGACTCAACGTGCCTAACACCTACATTGTCAACTGTGTTGTCATCTTAATATTAAATTTTATAATTCCTGAACTTGGAATATCTCTATTTAGGACTTCTTTAATTTATTTTCACAGTGTTTTGTAGTTTTCAGTGTACAAGTTTTGCATTTATTTTCTTAAATGTATTCTTAAGTGTTTTGTTCTTTTTGATGCTGTTGTAAATGTGACTGTTCTCTGAATTTCATTTTTGGATTCTTCATTGCTAATGCATAGAAGTACAGCTGATTTTTTTATGTTGGTCTTTTGTCCTGAAACCTTGCTGAACTCACTCACTAGCTCTAATGGTTGTGTGTGTGGATTCCTTCTGTTTTCTGTGCACACTGTCATGTCATCTGCAAGAGAGATGTTTTGTTTCTTCCTTGTCAATTTGGATTTCTTTTGCTTCTTTGTCTCCCTTGGTTGCTCTGGGAGCCTCTGGTACAGTGCCAGAAGTGGAGGGAGAAGACACCCTTGTCTGGTCAAGCTTCCGGTCTCCTCAGTGAGTGTGATGGCAGCCGTGGGCGTTACAGGCGGCTTGTGTCAGACTAAGGAAGTTCTCTTAGGTTGCTAGTTTGTTGAATATTTTTGTTGTGAAGGGGTGTTGAATTTTGTCAAATGCCCTTTCTTCAGCTATTGAAATGATCGTGTGATTTTTGTCCTTTTTTCCTACTGATAATGGTGTAGTGTATTAGCTGTTTTCCGTGTGTTGAACCACCCTGCAGTCATGGGATAAACCCTGCGTGGTCAGTTTCAGTGGTTCGTGTATTTCTAGTACTTCGTCCACGTCATCTAGATTATTTGTTGTAATTTGTTGACATGCAGTTGTCCACAGTATTCCTTTATAACCCTTTTTGTTTCTGTAAGTTTGGTAGCAATGTCTTTCACCATTCCTAATTTTACAAGTTGGAGTCTTTTCTCTCTTTTTTAAAATTTTCTTGGTTAGTCAAGCTAAAGGTTTATCAATGTTATTGATCTATTCAAAGTTGCTTTTCTGTATTATTTTTCATTCTTCATTAATTTCCACTCTCATCTCTATTTCCTTTGGGTTGCTTTGGGTTTAGTTTTTCTTTTCTTTTCTAGTTTGAGTGGAAATGAGATCTGTCTTTTTAGTGTAGGTGTTTATGGGTACAAATTTCTATCTAAGCACTGCTGTAGCCTCATCTCGGACATTTTGGTATGTTGTATTTCCATCTTTATTTATCTCAAAGTACTTTCTCATTTCTCTTGTGATTTCGTATTTTACCCATTGCTTGCTTAGGAGTCTGTTGTTTAATTCCTATATACTTGTGAATTTCCCAAATTTCCTTCTGCTATCTGATTTCTGATTTCAGTCCATTTAGCCATAAGGTTTTTGTCTGCCGTCTTTCTGTTTTTCTGTGTGTCTTTTAAAATCTTTCTTCCTCTATTGCTTTTTCTTGTGTGTTAAGTTATTTAGCTCCCTTTTGTCTCCCTATTTTTTTGTTGTTGTTAATTCTTTCAGTGGTTGCTTTGAGGATTATAATGAACTACTTAATGCAGTCTGGTTTGGATTAACACCAACCTGGTTTCATTAGTGTTCAGACACTTTACTCCAGTGTAGCTCTGTTTTCTCCCAGCTCCTTTGTGCTAGTTTTGTCATACAAGTTGCATCTTAATAGCTTGCAGGCCCATGAACATAGTTTTGTGATTATTGCTTTACGTAGTTGTCTTAAATCCGGTAGGGAAAGGAAAGCTTCACAGACAAAATCGCATTTGCGCTGGCCTTTGTTTGGCCGTGTGGTTGCCGTTACTGATGCTCTGTATTTCTCTGAGGGTTTGGGTCCGGTGTCTCTCTCCTCGCCCTGCGGGGCTCCCTTCAGTGTCTCACGCACGGCGGGTCTGCTGGCAGAGGGTTCTCTCCATTTTTGTCTTAATCTCTCCTTCACTTTTGAGGAGTAGTTTTGCTGGGTACGGAATTCTTGGCTTAACAGTCTTTTTCTTCCAGCACTGCCTTCTGGCCTCTGGTTTCTGGTGAGAAGCCTCGCGCACCGTGAGCTGGGTTTTCTGGCTGGTTTGGGGTGCGCTCTTCACCTCCTGCTTTTGCCCGTCACCTGTGACGAGTCTGGTTGTGGGCCTCTGAGGGTGCGTCCTACTTGGAGCTTGTTCAACTTCTTGCACATGGAGATTGTTTTCCATCAGATTTGGAAGGGCTTTGGCCATTATTTCCCCAAGGATTCTTTCTGCCCCTTTCCCTCTCTCCTCAGACCCCCATCGTGTGTACACGTGTGGTTGACGGTGTCCTTTGGTCTCTGAGGCCCTGTTCATTTTTCTTCATTCTTTTTCCTATTTCTGAGACTGGAACTAGTGACCTGTCTTCAAGGTCACAGGTTCTTTCATTTGCCAGTGGAAATCTGGCGTTGAATCACTGTGGTGAAGCCTTCATTTCAGTTAACTGCACTTTTCAGTCCAGAGTTTCTACTCTGTTCCCTTCTGTGATTCCTTTCTTTTTATTGATGCTCTCTGCTTGGTAAAACTTTATTCTTATACTGCAGTTCTTGAGACCCGGTTTCTTTTAGTTCTTTAAACATACTTTAGCTGACTTAAAGTATTTGCCTAAGCTTTTGCATAGCTAAGGATACCATCAACAAAACAAAAAGACAACCTACAGAATGGGAGAAAATATTTGCAAATGATGTGCAGACCAGGGACTAATTTCCAAAATATACAAACAGCTCGTACACCTTAATATCAAAGAAACAAGCAACCCAATCCAAAAATATGCAGAAGACCTACACAAGCAATTCTCCAGTGAAAACATACAAATGGCCAATAGGCACATGACAAAGTGCTCAGCATTGCTAATTGTCAAGGAAAATGCAGGTCAAAACTACAATGAGGTATCTCCTTACACCAGCCAGAATGACCATCATTGAGAAGTCTGCAGATGATAAGTGCTGGAGAGGGTGTGGAGAAAGGGGAACCTCCGACACTGTTGATGGGAGTGTAGTTTGGTGCAGCCACTGTGGAGGACAGTATGGAGCTTCCTTAAAAAACTGAAAGTAGACTTACCATGTGATCCAGCAGCCCCGCTCCTGGGCATGTATCTGGAGAAAAATGAAATTCAAAAAGACACATGCACCTCAGTGTCCACAGCAGCACTGTTTACAACAGCCAAGACGTGGAAACAACCCAAATGTCCATCAGCAGGTGGCTTGGTAAAGAAGATGTGGTATGTATATACGATGGAGCCATAAAACAAGACTAAAATAATGCCATTTGCAGCAATGCAGATGCACCTGAAGATTGCCATTCTAAGTGAGGTGGGCTGGAAAGAGAGGGAAAAACACCATATGACATCATTTGTATGAGGAACCTAAAAAATAGTAACAATAACAATAAGGACCCAAACGGACTGCTGTATAACTAAGATGGCTGATCTCTTGAATATGTGTGGTCACATCTGACTGTCCTTTATGATTGGATCACCACGTTCTGTTGATTCTTATTTTGTGGTTGGCTCTATTCCTTTGATATCTATGTAAGTTTAAAAAGCTAAAGCTCTAATCTGTTCTTAGAAACAATGACCAGTACATGTATGTAAACTAAAAGAATGTGCAGTATGCTGTATATGTGTATTTACACGCAATATTATGTGCATGTGCAATACATGTGTATGTATAATAATCCAACATAATAAAACTGAGAAAGGGGGAAAATAAAGTATTTGTCTAGAAAATTCAGTGTGTGGGCTTACTCAGGGACAGTTTCTGTGGGCTGCTCTTTTCCCCCGGTGCATGGGACTGTACTTTCCCTGTTTCTTCTTGCGTTTCAATTTTTTTTTTTGGTTGAAAATTGGACACTGTAAATAACATGATGTGATAACTCTGGAAGAGCCTCCCATCCCTGGAATTTGCTGCTGTCGTTGTTTGTTTGTTGAGTGTATTTCCTGGACTGACTCTGTAAATCTGTCTTCTGTCGTGCCTAGCTCAGCCACTGCGGTCGCTGCTTGGCCAGCTTAGTGATTAGCCAACAGTTGGGCAGGGATTTCCTTACATGCTTTGATCCGGTGGGTCTTGTGGTTTTGCCGACAAGCTGGGGGTGTGTGTGTGTGTTAGGCACACTTTCAGCACTCCTGCAGCCAGTTGCCAGCTCTGCCTTGGCCTTCATTTCATGAATGTTTTGATCTTTGCTACGTGAGAAAGTGGCACGTTGTAGTTTTGAGTGACGTTTGTCTTGGGAGTGAGAGTGAGCATTTTCACATTAAAGCAGTCACTGTTTATCCTGTCCTGTGAATTGTATCCGTGTCTTTTGCTCATTTTGCTGTTGGCAGATTGGTTTCTTTCTTATTAAGCTACAGAAGCTCTTTATTCATTCAGAAAACTAGCAAAAAAAAAATAGCTGTACATGACAAGTCGCAAATATTTCCTCATTTTATCTTCTGATTTTGCTTATGTTGTTTTTCGCCCTGTAGATTTTTTTATGTAGTTGAATTTAACCAATCTTCCA